TAATACAGTGTGGCAAAAAGCAAGTTTATATTGTCTGACAGTAACTCAGTTACACACGAATGCGGCAGGGCCGAATTATCACTTTACCAGTACCAAGGGGTAGTGTGACTGGCAGATATTTTTGCACAGGCCAGATTTCCATCTTTTAATTGCAACCAAACCGGCAAACCTGAACAACCGGGGATTGACCCGTCAGGTCCGAGCCATGAATAACAACAACAAGGAGCTCAGATATCCCAACCTTTGTTTAATTCTTTGTCTTCAGTACCCAGCCCTTCTCCACTTTCCTCTTCTTCTGACCTGTAGTAGTCCCTCAAGCAACTTGGATGTCGCTCGTCAAAGGTCGTTGCCAAATAGCACTGTAAGTAATGTATTTCGTCAAACACTGAACCTGGAGTCCTCTCTTATCGATTGGATCCCTGTCAATAGTCGTTTATGTGCAATGCGACTCCGGAGTTCAATCAGTGTCCGGAAAGAAAGCAACACCAAAAGGTGTTTGTTCATCGTGTCAGCATATGCACCGACCAATTGCAGTTCTGATACCCGAAAAGACACCTTCTACGACGAACTCACTGATCTCATTCGGATGAGTCGAAACTCCTATATAGTTGTTCTTGCAGGTGACTTCAACGCGCAGGTTGGAAAACTAAACGTATCAGAAGCTTGCCTAGGCGGTCGTTGTTCTCTGCCCTGCCAGCGAACAGATAATGGTAATCGACTTCTTCAGTTCCGCGCAGATTATCATCTGTTCCTATCCAGCACCAACTTCCGACACAGCTCTCAACGGACGGCAACATGGCGCTCCAGTTCAATTGGTACGCTAACTCAAATCGACCACACAGTAGTAAGTTACCGTTGGTGTGGCTCAGTGCAAAATTGCAGGTCCTATTGGACCACCTGTGTTGAGTCTGACCACGCATTAGTGTTGATGCAGTTCACTCTTTGACTGACAGGCCGGCGGCGAATTCAGCAAACTCCTACAGCTCATCATCGACCATCTGTTCCAGCATTTCCTGTAATCTACGAATCAGAGCTAGTGCGTGAGCTAAGCGCACATTAACGTGGTGGTGTAGATGAGCAATAGGATCAGATTAGACGAGCAATGCATTCCGCAGCGAATGTTGCTTGTGGGTCTGAGCCTCAAACCCGTCGGAGGCATTGGATATCTCAGGAGTCAGTAGTTTTGATGGAAAAAACGACAAATCCCGACCTGCCAGGATCAAAATAGAGTTAGGTGGCATTCATAACGTCAGCTCATGAAGGACCCTGAAGACTGGTGGGTAACAATAGCTGGTGAGATGGAAGTAGTGGCTGCATCAGGGAATAGTTGAAGACTGTTCCGACTGATGCGCAACACGGGAGGTCGGCGAACCCCAGTTAGTGAAACAGTCTGCGATAAGAGGGAACAAGCTATTCACAATAGGGATCGACGACTCGATTACT